AAATTATAGAATATTGTGCATAGGATTTCATTCTATTTTCTGTATGCATTTCCTTATATTTCTTTAGAATATTTTCTAGTAGAAATTAATTGCCGTATTTTAGGAGTAGCATATTATTTCCATTTTTGTCATTGAATTTCGTTTCTCATTTCTTTCTTATCCGATTTTATCTGTGACTTTATTTTTGGCTGGGCGTGTGACATGATTCAATTGGAGAATGATTTTCGATATCGTTTCTCTATCTTGTCTTTGACACGGAGATCAATACGCTACCTCTACGAGTTCGATTTCTCTTATAAGTCGAACCATGACGGTCTAAGCGTTACATTGGTTCTGATTCGAGCGTCATCATCAAGGATCCAGAGAGGAGAAGATTGGAATGGAGCTTGCGCATATTTCAGGAGCCAATGGAGCCGCTTTGTTCAACATCATCTTTCTTATCCAAGTCTTCGTGCAACCGTCGAGTGTTGTGAGCTGTATCGTTAGATACGTAGGAAATGACAGTTGATGGGTTTCCTCTCAATCGTCTAGGGTGTTTAGTATGGTACCCTTTGGGTGACATGACATGCAACGCATTCGCTCATACGCCTTAGGTTCTTGCGTGTGTGTCCCGAGTTCCTTCCCGTTTAGGGTTAGGCCTGCTTCCTCTTTGTTCTCGCCCTGCGCGATCGAAACCCTTTTCTCTCGCGTTCAGGCGATGGAAACCCCTTCTCTTGCCCCTGTGCAATCGAGACTTGTTTTCCTGTAGCGTCGAACTACGTTTGCTCTGATCTCTCATACCAGACGAGAGTACGTAGGCATATGATGCGATATCCTAGCGAGCTCCCTTCTCCCTTTCCCCGTTTGCTGTAGTTAGCTGAACTATAACTGCTCTGATTTCTCGTACCAGACGATAATATGTAGGCATAGGATGCGATATCCTAGCGAGCACACTAACAACTAACTTCTCTGTTCTCTCGCTGCCGTGCGATCGAGACTTTCCCGCTGACGACTAATTTTTTCCTTTCTCTTGCCCTAGCGCAATTGAGACCATACCGTAGTTCTAGACCCGTAGGTTCCCGTACCTTTAAAACCCGACCTACTATGTCCGTTCTACCGCAAACAGATAACGCCTAAGTCTCTAAGGGTTGAGCAACATACACCTAAACTGCTAGAATGCGTACGCTAGTATCGTCAATCCTTTCTCTCACCCCTGTATGATCGAGAACACCCTATCTAGTTGTAGTATCCCGAACTACGTAAGCTCTAATCTCTCATACCTGTTGAGAGTACGTAGGCACGAGATGCAATATCTCGGAGAGCAAATTCCCCCGTAGTTTCCCGAACTACGTTGACTCTGACTTTCCCATTGCACGAGGGAATACGTAGGCATAGAGCACGATGCTCTGTCGAGTTAGTTTCTTTCCGTTTAGCTTTAGCAACCGTAGATAGATTGTTTTTTACCCGTAGACAAACCAGCAAGCGTGGATCCCGTCAAGTACGATGGACGTGAGGGGTGCTAATACCTTCCCCTTGTGTAATCGACTCCTGAACCCAGACAATGGTTGCGATGACCTTGTCTTATACCTTTTCGTCAGGTTTTTTCTGATCGTTTCCTTTCCCGCTCTGAGGGATAAATAACGAAAGGTGGCGACTCTTCTGTCTTGCCGACATCGTTTTTTGCAGTAGCGGCAGAGCTGAAAGTTATGGAGCATAGGTTTTTAGCTACATCGACAATTAGAGATGAGTGGTTATGGGACTACCGTCTTGGGCATCTCAATTTTCGTGATCTTAAAACGTTGCAACAAAATGGTATAGTTACCGGGTTGCCACACATTAATATTCCAACGGAGTTGTGTGAAGAATGTGTGAAAGCAAAATAACACAAGGGGATGTTTAGCCAGGATGTGGGTCATAGGACCAAGGCTCACCTTAAGGTGATGTATTCCGATGTATGCGGGCCGATGCAAGTTGACACGTTGGGTGGCAATAGGTACTTTGTCATATTTATCGATGATTTTAGTAGAACGTTATGGACTTACCTTATCAAGAGGAAGGACGAGGTGTTTGATGTATTAAAAAAATTTAAGTCCATGATGGAGAGGCAATACAGTCAAAAACTCAAAGTGCTCAAAATTGACGTTGGAGTTGATACGTCTCGAATGACTTTGGGATGTTTTGTGACCAATGGGAGATAGTGCATGAGGTGGTACCACCCTACACACACAACAAAATGGTGTTGCCGAGAGAAAGAATCAGCCGATTATGAACATGGTTCGCAGCATGTTAAGTGGAAAGAACTTTCCGAATGAGCTATGGGAAGAAGCGATCTCTACAACCAACTATTTGTTGAATATGTGCCTACTAAGAAGCTTGAGAAGCTGACTCAGGAAGAGGTATGGTCTGAATTCAAACTGAATCTAAGCCATTTGAGAGTTTTCAGTTCGGTGGTGTATCGACATGTGTCAGGTCAACTTAGAAAGAAGTTGGACGACAAAGGTGAGGAGATGATATTGCTTGGATATCACTCTACTTGTAGATACACGTTGTTTGATGCACGAAATCGGAGAATAGTGATCAGTCGTGATGTTATTTTTAAAGGAATTAGACATGCATGCCCTGGTGTAACCGGTTACACCCATCTAGTTTATTCTGGTGTAACCGATTACATGCAGGAAAAACAGAAATCCAACAACTTTATTTTTTCTGATCCTAAAAGTTCCGAAACATTTGTGCAACCACCGATTGAGGTCTGAAATGAAGAGAATGATAGAAGATCAACAAGGCAACACGTGTTACCTTAAAGACTCCAAAAATGTGAGAGATTCCGAAAGAACAGAATAAATCATGATGGTAATTTCGTCCACTCTGCGCTTTTAGCTGAATCTGAACCGGTGAACACAGAAACGGCTCTAAGCGATCCAAAGTGGATTTATGTAATGAAGCAGAAGTTGGAATCTATTGAAAAAAAATGGTACTTGGGAGTTGGTTGATTTACCACTTGAAAAAAAGGCGATAGGTGTTCGATGGGTCTATAAAGTGAAGGCAAATCCCAAAGGCGAGGTGATCAAGCATAAGGTTTGATTTGTAGCAAAGAGATTCTTACAACGTGAAAGTATATATTTTGAGGAGGTGTTTGCATATGTGCTAAGCTAGAAACTATCATATTAGTTATTGGTATTGCAAATAACAACAATTGAGGAATATATGAAATGGACGTCAAATTTATGTTTTTGAACGATCCACTTGATGAAGAGATTTATGTTGAACAACTCAGGATGAAAAAATGGGTGACCCTGGTGTTTATGAATCCTAGAAAAATGGAAATTCTTCTAGACCCTGGTACATTGAGAATTTAGTTCAATGTTAATCGTTGCGAAGAGCCTAGGATGTAAGGAAGCAACTTCTCGGCATAATGGACAAGTAAGATATCTATCTATTTATATAACATCTATTATTTTGCTTGCATTGGTTTCTTTGTTATGCTTTCTTCATTTGTTTTTATAGTTATTATGAGCTTCTAATGACAACTAAAGAATACATGCTTGAGGTCAAGTCATAGATCCCAAGTGACTTGTTGAATTGGCAGATCCTACAAAGATGAGCAAACGGAAGCGTCAAGAGCATATTGAACCACTTTACATTATGGTTTAAACTAGTAGATCATTTATCATTTATGGAAGCTAAATTTAAGTGAAAAAACTATACATTTTGACAATGCTTTAATATCCAATAATCTATGAAGATGGTTTCGTAAAGTTGTTAAACTCTTTTATTTAGTTCAACTTTCTTTACCATTAAGTAACACTTATATAAATCTCTTTAAGAGTTTTTTTTAGTACAATCCTAAAAAACTAAAAAACGCGCAAAAAAATTTAAAAATCAGATAGCCCATTTTTAGAAGTGTACTTAAATTGTCCTTGATGTGAGAATAAATTTATAATTTAAATATTAAAAAGAAATAAAATTAGTATAAAATAATTGGAAGTTGTTTTATAAAAAAACAAATAGGATTACCCTATATAAACCTATCATAGAAAATTTGAGCGGTTATTATTCCTTCTTTTCGTTTAACCTAGCAAAGCTTTCTGCGGCAACTGTAACTCAAGCTCGGCCGTCCCTCCTCTTTCTGCGGCAGCTGTAACTGAAGCTCGGCCGTCCCTCCTCCTCCTTCTCCTTTTTCTGTGCAGGAAAAAATCACAAGAAAGCTATGTCGTACGATGACGTAGAAATCGAAGACATGGAGTGGAACGAGGAGTTGCAGTCATACACGTATCCTTGTCCATGCGGGGACCTGTTCCAGATCACAAAGGAAGATCTCAAGCTTGGCGAGGAGATCGCTCGCTGCCCTAGTTGCTCCCTCTACATCACTGTTATCTACAACATGGAAGATTTTCTTGGCGCAAACAAGGGTCTTCAGCCCTCCAAACAACAACCTGTCACCGTTGCTTGAATTTCAGGTTTTTCACAACTTCTTAGGAATATATTCAATCATTACAACTTCTTAGGTTTTTCATCGATGTTTTTTTGAATTTGGGTTGATATATGTGGGTCGTTTTATTGCTACTATGTTAGGGTCTGCGGGCCAAGTGGCTTTTTGGTTTTGTAATCTCCCAATTTAGGTTATAGAGTTAGATACCATTTAAAATATTTTGAAATTATGTTGACAAAACATTATTATAAACCATTTCTATTTCTTTTTTTATTAAGTTTCTAAATGTGTTAATACAACACTCTGTGATGCATAAATTAGTAATGCAACACTGCTGAAATGGCAGTAGTAATTAGCTTTATTGTGTTGCCTATTTTTTTGAGATTGGATATTAGTTCTGGAGCAGGTTGTATATGGTTTTCGAGTAGCATATCAATGTGTTTGTTGGCGCTCAGTGTTTCGATTTGTAGGCTCTAGCTGGGATTATTTTTGTGTAGAGGCTATTCACAACAAGAACATCTCTCTTGTCTCAGAACAAGTATCACTCATCCTCAGAGAGATTGATTTGTCTCAAAAGAAACTAGCCCAGATGGAAAAGCAGCTTCTTGGTTATGAAAGATTTGATCTTTCAAGACCCAACATTGCAAATGAGCTCAAAATCTTCCTCCAACGCCATCAACTTCCTCTAGGTAAAGATTCAAGAACTGGGATCACTGAAATGGTTTCATCTGTTGGTCATTCTTGTGAGAAAAATTCAGACTTGTTGTCACAGTTCATGAGATACAAACTCTCTGGAACTTGTCCTGATGATTGGAGTTTAGCTCAGAAACTGATCTTGAAAGGGTGTGAGCCATTACCAAGAAGGTGTTTTTCCAAAACTGTTTCAAAATTAGGGTTTTTTCCTTTACCTGTTTCTCTATGGAAGCCTCCTCTAGGTAGTAACACTTTTAATTGGAGTGGTTTGAATTGTAAGAGTTTTGAGTGTTTGAAAGGTAAGAAATTGAGTAGAGATTGTGTTAATTGTTTTGATTTGGTGAGTGGTGGAAATGAGAATCAAAGGTTTTTGAAGGGTAAGAGTAAAAATGATTTTTTGATTGATGATGTTTTAGGTTTAGGAAATGGTGGAATTAGAGTAGGGTTTGATATTGGTGGTGGTTCTGGTTCTTTTGCTGCTAGAATGTTTGATAGAAATGTTACTGTGATTACAAATACTCTTAATGTTGATGCACCATTTAGTGAATTCGTTGCTGCTAGAGGACTTTTTCCGATTTACTTGAGCTTAGATCATAGGTTTCCGTTTTACGACAATGTGTTTGATTTGATTCATGCTTCAAATGCGTTGGATATTGTTGGAGGAAAGGCGGAGAAGTTGGAGTTTTTGATGTTTGATATTGATCGAGTTTTGAGAGCCGGTGGTTTGTTTTGGCTTGATAATTTCTTTTGTGATAGTGAAGAGAAGAAACAAACTCTTACAAGGTTGATTGAAAGGTTTGGTTATAAGAAATTGAAATGGGTTGTGGGCGAAAAAGTTGATAGTTTTGGATTGGGTAAACCCGTAGTTGTGTTATCCGCAGTTCTTCAGAGACCGGTTAGATCGGGTTAAAGTTTTAGGAGCTTATAGCTTATACAACAAATGTAGCAAGAAGTGAGAATATTATTGATTCTGTTATGTCTCTTTGGCGCGAATGGAATTGTTTTGAACATCGTTGTCGTCATCAAATCTCATAACAAGTGTTTGCTTACCAAAAGTAGAGCAACATTTAGAGGTGATATATATCATTTTAAGTTATGTTGTGTATTTGAGTTGTAATTGATAAGATGTTGGAAAATGGAAAGAAAATGATGAATTAGTTCATTTTTGAAGCATATGAAGTCAACTTTAGACTCTTTCAAAATTTCAATTTTACTTTCTTTGGAGTCAACCAATGAAAATGAAGTGCAAAATTTGATAAGCTTACAATAGAACTCTAACTCTGTAGCTGGTTTAGTGCATGTTCAGATTCACCATAAATTTTAAAAGTGTAACATAATATAAAAAATTGAGCAGGATCGGTTGACATTCTTACTATTCTGCCTTTTAATTTCTAATAATCTAAAAAAACATGATTTGTTTATTTATTTATGTTGAAAACAATAATATAACACAAAGTCTAATATAAAATTTTATATTTAACTTCCAAGTTAAGTCTTAGAGCACAAATAAATATATAGTTATTTGCGTAGAGAACTAGTAGTAGACCCGTGCTTCCGCACGGGTAAATTCATTCTTAAATTTCATAATAACTTCATAATAGTGGATATATTCAACCTCATGTTCTCGTTAATACTCAATATTTTGATCAATAACTTCATGTTCCCGTTAATATTAAATATTTTGATCAATAACTTCATGTTCTTGTTAATATTAAATATTTTGATAAGTAACTTCATGTTCCCATTAATATTCAAAATTTTGATCATTAACTTATGTTCCCATTAATATTCAAAGTTTTTATCAGTAACTTCATGTTTCCGTTAATATTCAATATTTTGATTAGTTACTTCATGTTATTGTTAATATTTTACATTTTGACCAGTAACTTCATGTTTCCGTTAATCTTCAATATTTTGATAGGCAACTTCATGTTACCCTTAATATTCAATATTATCTCAGTAATTTTACTATTTTTTCAATATTCTATATGGCAAAAAAAAAAACGGTTTCAACTCTTAATATCATTCATAGCCTTAGAATTGACATTATAAAAATAAAAATAAAAACTCTAAAGACCATATTTAACATTATCTGATACAAACTCTAATTTTGTTTGTGAATGTGAGTCTTATAGATGGCAAGATTAGAGATAAATCTCAAACAAACTCTAATTTTGTTTGTGAATGTGAGTCTTATAGATGGCAAGATTAGAGATAAATCTCAATAACAACCTATACAATATAAGTAAGTATGATATGATAACTATATATAACACTTTCGGTTCACAATTTTATCCAGAGACGTCATTTCAAAAACAAAGATAAATATCATTTTTTTTTTGGATAATTTAAAAATGTTCCATTATTTTCTAATGCATTGATAAAAAGAAGAAAAAAATTAAAAAAAAAAGAAAAAGTCCTTTGTGATATGTTCATGGTATATGTAAGAAACTTTCTAACCATACTCTTGATGTTAAAGTATCATTAAATTTGATGATAGTATAGTTTAGATTGAGATAGTAAATAAACCATCACAGAACACATGAATGATATTATACAATCCTTTAAAGTCCTTTGTGATGCAAATAAAGTTGTATTAGAAGAATCCACAATAATATTAAATTCTAAACCCAAAATCAAAGGCATTCAAAATCTATAAAAATGTAAACTATTTTCAAAGGTACTCCTTATTTCTTAGATTCTGTATTTGTTATCTTGAATTCATGTTTTATTTCGTACAAATATATCCATTATTGTGGCTATTTCAATATGTTCAATGACTCCATAATAAATAATAAATAATCTATCAATGAGTAATGATACTTGAGCACTCTCCCACCAAAATAAAACTATAAACAGAAAAACTCGAGAAACCTAGAATAGATCATAAATCATAATATCATAAATATGCTCTGATAAATTGATTCTTACATATTTTACATCCACCACTTCAAAATCATATTAATTTTTTGTTCCACACTAAATGTTACAGCACCAATAATAGTAAAAAGCAGAAATTTAATTGTTAAGTTTTTGCAACTTAACCAAGATTTGGCCTTTTTAACTTTAGATGCATTTCTAAATCATAATTATTATAAATGAAGTTCGCGTTTTTATACAATCTATTATAAGTTATATTTCATTAATACCAAAAAAAATCTGGTAAGTATAATGTAACCTTAGGACAATCCTGGGGCTAAAAAATAGCAGATAAAACCTAATAAAGTAAAAAACAAATAGCATACCAAAAGAAGAAGAATTTCACAAAGTTTTGCTTTGGCTTCCGTGAAAAATGTAAACCACAATTTTTCACCCAATGCAATGAAAATTAAAACAGTCTGCATATCAATTTTTCATATTTAATAATAATCATAAAAATCAAAATATCAAAGTTTTTCTCATCAGATTCACCGTGATTTCCATTACCGACGAGCATGCTGGCCGACACGGTGGTCGAAAAGCTGAACAACCACTTCTCTTCTTTCTAATTATCTCATTAGTTGCAGTGCAAGCAAGAGTGGTTCTACAATCAATACCACCATATCCTCCTGAACCAGATGAAGTCTGGTTCAAACCGGCCGGTTCGAGAACAGTTGTCGTGTTCAGAATCAGATAACGGCATGTAGTTGCATTCGAAAAGGTAGCCAGATAATGTACCCAATGTTTTCATAAGGTGACTCACCTGTAAGAAAATAATTATATCAGATTGAGTAAGGAAAGACAAAAGAATAAAGTTTGTGAAGTTATCTATACTAATTCAGTGCACAACTCTTGTAGCTTACTGTGACAATTAAAGTACAGCTGCACAAAGAATTCAGAAGAAGGTAAAAATATAACATTATTCAATTACCATTCAACTATTTTACTCTTGTAGAATTAAAATAAGAGATAACAATTTTTTTTATATACAAAAACCAAGTAGTTTTAAAAAGAATTACTGCCATAAGATGAGATAAAATGTATAAGTAGCTGCATAATAAGTATCTGTAGAGTAAAACATCAAAAGTATTTCTCAAACAGATACTACAACACCTTGCCAATACTAAGGCTCTTTAACCACCTGTTTGATCTATAAAAGCTGAAAACAACATCATTGCCTCATTATGTCCTTTATCAAGATAAACCATGTCATATAAGAAATGTGCCAGTCACTTAATCGGTATAACTTTAACCTAATATAAAATACATGGAGATAATTGAAGATACCTTAGTCTTTAACATTGAAACCATCAAATTCATTTGCATGTCCTGAACAAAGAAAAAAATGAACTTAGCCAAAAGAATAAGAACATAATGAAATGTAACCGAAGATATGAAATACCAGAACGAAAAGCACCAGAAACTCTATGAAAGTAACAATAATTATCGAGTTGAATCATACTTAGCTTTCTCTTCGACATTGCCCTCTCCGAATTTAATCAAAATAGACTCACCCCAAGGAGAAACACTAGGCAAGGAAAAATTATTTGAAATTATACCGATGTTCCACGTAATTACCATTATATTGGTAAAATTCCAAACCACCCCAAGGCTTGCTTCATAACATGAGACGCATATCACCAGCTGCTTGGCGAATGCCTTGCTGCACAACATGGGTGTGCTGTGTAACAAACATGTAATAATTGGAAGGAGTGCCATTAGGTCCATCAGGTGGAGCAGGCGCTGCATGATTCTAAACCACAATAGCATTGAACCATTTGGGTGGTCCAAAATGCGTAAGAGCGACATATCACCGAAATCCTGGCTCTGCATATCTAACCTATCAAGATGCAACACAATATCTGGTGGTGTTTTCTTAATAAAGTGTTTGACAGAGTGGAGAATCTTCACATTGTGGTGCTGGTCTGACCACGAAGGTAGAAATCCCAATGTATCAATGACCCGACCATTGCACTTGTACGATCAAAGCTAAAAGAGCCAGTACCTCTCACCTTTCCATACTGATACTTAACATAAGGGTCAAAATTTCCAAATATGTCACTCGCCGCTAGATCCTTTGCTTCGACTACAGTTATCTTAAGTTTCCTTACAGTTTTTGAAAGAAGATTTGATGATCCCTTTAGTGATTTCTGAGGATTGGCGTCGAGGTTGGTCAAGATATGAGAACCATCGGAGAATCTCCACCCTGTTACTACAATTCTCACCTTTAACTAAAATAGTGAATAAAAAGAGTTAAGACAGAATAAAACATTCCATTTACTAACAATTGTAGCAAAATAGATATATCATCAATTGTGAACAGGATGGAGAAATACCACCTGCCGTTAATAAAAAAGACACCAAGCTAAAGAAAGTATGTCTGGTTGTTCATTCATTTTATATTATCAGCAACAAATTATATAAGAAAGATTTACCTCTCCAGTAATTTCAATGGGGATAGCAACAAAAGATAGCAAAGACACTACAACAATATTTTTGTCAACTACATCTGTCACCATTTTTAGAACCTAATACATCCAAACAGAAAATTTAAGTAAGCCATATGATATATACTTCATAAAATATTATTCAACATAAAACAACAACTACAATTGATGACATGAATAACTTCCTTTAAAAGATTTGCAAAATAGAAAAATGTTCCTTACATTCTCTCGGGAACTTTTTCTCTGAAGAAATTGTTCTTGAAGAGGACAGCGTGATCGGGACTTGATTGCTGGGGAACTCAAAGATCCTGCATCCATAGTTAGAGGAAAAAGAAACAATGCACAAAAATTTGACCACGTCTAAAACACGGAAGACAAGAACAATAAAATGCTTGAATAAGAGGCAACGACAGTTTTGTGTAAATTGCAAATGGTGCAGATGGGAAAACAAAACATTCACCCGGTGCCCCAGGAATAGGTAGTGGCCTAGGCATGAGAGGTCTGAACCCTGGCATTAATTGTTGACCTCCAGGAATGGGAAATCTTGGGGGCGGCAATACAGGAGGAAGGTTCGGCCTCTGACCCATCAGATGATTATAAGCCCCACCAACCTGCTGAAACGCGGCAGCTTGCCCGAGATGTTCTTTGATCCGCTGATCAATTAAACTTTGGGTTTGTTGCTCTTCAAATTGCTGATAGTAAGACCTCACGTTAGCCTGAAAACAAAACACATCAAACAAATCTCACAAATATAACCAAGATTGCAATGCAGTATAATTTTCAAAAATGACAAAACTTCGCAGCACCTTGTGTTTATAAGGTGAGTTATGCTGCTTTCTAACAGATGGCTGCAACATTACACAAAGTTAGCAACATTTGCATTGTCCATTACAATGAAAATCATACGCTTCTTCAGAAAAATAAGAAAGTATCATTTATCAGAAGAAACTAATATTGTTGATTATGAGCATAAATGAATGAATAAGCAATTATCCTATAGAAATGCTAGATTGAAATCAAAGTGAAAGGCAACATTATTGGTGATTGGTGAGGGAAAAAACTTACAGAGTCGTGGGTCAAACCGTCAAAAACCACTTCCATTGAAAGGAACGATAACATAATCATATGCTTCTGCAATATTTCCCAAAGAGAACTTGATTAATGTCAAAACCCAACTGATGTCAGAAAGAGGCTGAGAGAAGAAGAAAGAAATCAAAATAGATTGTATTCAATTGATTGATTAGTTGAGAGTAGCATCAAACCAAATGTTGTACTTACACCCATTGTGTCAATTCAGTGTTAAATACCTAAATCTAATTTGGACATATTCTGATTGGCATCAATGAGAAAATATTTCTAAACAATTGAACATTTTGAATTGAAATAACCATTTAGTACTTAAGATTTCTTATGTAAACACTAAACGCCGCACATTAATTACCAAGACTAAACTGATACAGTAAAAAAAATCAATGAAAGCAAGGTTGAATTTATTTTATCAGATAAAATACATACAAACAAAGGAAATATCTAATAACAATTCAATCCTTATGCATCATAATGCCAAATGAAAGGCACCTCACACATGCTCAAACATTCTCATTATCTTAATAGTACTGACTTATAAGTTATACTCCTAACAATGCAACTAATACACAAACAACATAGTACAGTAAATTTAACTCTGTTAATGTGCAGGAGAACACTGTCATGTGCATTGGAATGTGTAGGTGTTGGAATACAATAGGCATATGCAACAAATTTGAACATGTAGCACACATCTTACCAAAACTGTAATTAACAGGCCTTCGAGTGCGACAAAGGCGTGCATTTCCAGAAGAATAAGAGTTGTGAAAATCTTTTAAGAGCTTATCCTGTCTCTCTTTTTGTTTCATTGCTTTTTCTTTCTTCTGCATAATTTGAAAGTAACATCACATTATGTAAATATCGAAAACAAATAAAAGGTTTTCTCTATAAAACAGACACATATCTAGCAATAATCAATAGGATGTATATACCTTTTGTTTTTTCTCAAGAACAGGAATAGCTTCACTCTGAAGCTTCTTGCCAGTAAAAACTTCCACATGAGACTTGCTAGATGATAAATTTTCCTGCAAATAACATTCAAAGACAGTTAATTAAGGTTTCAAATATGGGTAAATCAAGGAAGACAAAATTCTTCAAGATTGGAGGCAAGTGTTTCCCATTGAAAGTTGGGAAGTGATAAACAGCCTTTGACTTTACGGTTTGGAGTTGAGACTGATGTGATTGTTTCCCTGTACAATCTGTGACTCTGTGCTTTGGTATTTGCATCGTACCTAAGATAAACATAGTCAGACAGATTACAGTGAGGGGATTCTATGATAACGATAATTATGAAGATATCGAAACATATTCAAATAATTACCAATAGGTTGCGCCAGTTCCATCTCTTCCAAGGGCATTTTTACGAAAAGAATAAATTTCAGCTCCTTCTTTTAGAGAATCATTAATATATGATACCACATCATGTTGCTGAACATTAACAAACAAACCATCAAAATAATCAGTCTCGTGAAAAATTGAAACATCAAAATTCAAAAGGGATAAAGGGAGATTGGGAACAACTAGTCAAAGAACAGAGAGTATACAAATACTATTGCATTAATTAAAGAAACAAAATATTTGAATAAACTAAAAGGGAGGTCACTATACATCAGCTCTAACTTCACAAATGGCTTTTAGCAGTAGTAAACGATCCAATGGATCAAGCTCCTTGTACTTCGATATCTCCTTTCTGCATAAGCAATAATGACATAAGTTCCTCGAATGTCATAACAATTGTTATTAGTAGAACATGATGATTTCGTTTCTATACCCTTTAGATGGAACAAGTGGATTCTTGCCCTCAGCAAAACAAAGCAATAAATAGTTTCAGCAATGGGAAGGAAAAATAAAATAAAATACATAAAAAATCACAAATGGTAACTCACCACCATCTAACAAATTCCACAATCGTGTAACCATTCCTTCCAAGCCATTTATTTCAATGAAACACTTCAAAAATCAAAGAACATAACACATTTTTTTTCAACAAAATCTACTATGAATACAAGAAGAAGAGGACATGAAAGAAAGAACAATAGAAGAGGGGAAAACATACCTTTTGCAATCGAAGAGGGGAAAAACATACCGCTAGAGTTTGATAGGAAAAGAGAAAGGGGTAGAGAAAAAGTGGAAGAACTGTGGAAAGAGAAAGAAAAAGTAACTGGGAAAGAGAGATGAAGAAAATTGAAAAGAGGGAGAAGGTGAGGGAAAGAGGGAAGACAATAGTTTTAAAAAAATTATACCACTTGACAAAATTGGACTATATTATTGGTGAATGTTTCTGTATTTAATAAATTACTCAAAAGAGCATGGTTTAGTATTAAGTAAAAATCAATTGAAAGATAAAATAGAGAGTTTGGTGGCATTTTCAAGCTCATAATATTTGATTAAACAAAAAAAGTATTTGATTTTAGAATTTTTAGTAAATTTGAAGAGTTTTTTTAGATACTTTTAGATAACATTTTTTTTTTATTATCACCATAGATATCTGATTTATTAGAATGATTAATTTGATTCGAATGTTACATTTGATATTAAGTGATTTCAATTCTCTTTTGATCGCATCGCAATTGCGAGGATAGTTCTCCTATCTATTAAATAAAATTAATATTCTAACTTCTAAAAATAAATATTTTATTATAAAAAAATACTAAATCACTATTACAAAAAATTGACAAGTAAATTACTATTAATTTAAAATTTGAAAATTACAAACAAAACAAAAAGTTAAATTATGTTACTAATTTGTACTCTATCCATTTGACTATTGACCCCAATGCCATCACCTTCTTCCTTCTTATGTTCATACAAGTCCAAGTCTTTAGTCCAACCTTGAGCTTCAAGTTTAACCTTATTCTTCTTATTCCTTCACCATCTTTCTCTTTTACTACTACCAAATTTCTCTAACCTAATTCACAATCCAATCTCAAATTTTCACTTTCTTCCCCATTGAAATTTCACACCATACTCTCAATTTTTCATAAAAATTCAGAAACTTTACACTGATTTTGCATCTGGGTTTTCTTCATTCTTGTATAAATTCAATTGGGGTGTGCTTAAATTTGCAGATAAACCCTAAAGTTTCAACCTTTATTCAAATCTTCAGAGGTAACAAACATGGGTGCAACTGTAACTGCAACAGCAACACCAGGGTCAAGTGACAGATTGACTGATTCTGATCCAATTGAACTTACAGGAAAAATCATGGTGGTAGCTATAATTTTCCTGTTTGTAGTTGTTATGTTTGTTCTAATGCTTCATTTATATGCCAAGTGGTTCTGGTGGCGTTTTGAGGAGAGAACAGCTCCTCAACCAAGAAACCGCCGTCGCAGACGGCGGTTTCAATTTGCTCCTGGTCAAGATCCTATCTTCTATGGTAGTGGAACTCACCAAATTGGACTTGAAGCTTCAATTCTTAAGTCTTTGCCTGTTTTGGTTTTCAAACCAGAAGAATTCAAAGATGGGTTGGAATGTGCTGTTTGTCTTTGTGACATTGTTGAAGGAGAAAAAGCTAGACTTTTACCAAAATGCAATCAGAATTCTAAAGTTGCGACTTTTTATCGCGATGGAAAACAATCTAAGGGTGGAAAAAAATAATCCCCTTAAAAGAGTTCTTAGGAAGAATCCATTTGTGAATAGGATTGATACGCTCACAAATTTCTTTTTATTCTGCCTTCACTCTAAAGGGGAGTTATTTCTCCTCAACATATATTGTAATAACGAATACACCAATATCTTATATAATCAATTTGATCAAATTATTATTTTTCTCTCACTTATATCTTATTCTTTTTATTGTAAAATTAAACTAGTGTCTGATTGCAGGGAAGGTGGTAATATATTATGTTAAGTTCCATTTGAACCCATCTGCCAAACTGCCAAACGTGGCCTTAACTAATAGTGAAGAAGTAAACAGTAATTGTAATCTCAAATAGCAATTATGAGATTTAACATACAAAAGTAGATAGTGTAACAAAACATTACAAAGAAAATGAGTAAGTTTTCAAGAGAGATGCAAGAGATGCCATATTACAACGTACGATAATCTATTGCATTCCATAAACAACATATGGAAATTTAATTTACACGTTTAGTTAGGAATCCCAAAGTTACACATTTAGTTTAAGTTAAAGCCTATATTTACTCGGTCTAAGCAGGGTCTACTTCGGTTGAACTTGAAATGAACAATGAATAAAAAAAAATATGTATAAACATAATAATCTCACAAGAAAACTTTGGTGGAATTTGAAATAAACAATGAATGTAAAAAAAATACAGCTCTGCACATTCTTCATTCCAAGCCATGCCTTCAGATCCGTTCAGTAAGAGGAAACACTACCAAAATGCCTTCTAACACACCACCAAATGGGTTCAATTTGATCGTCAGTTTTATATCCCCATAAAAAAGGTAAATGTATACTCACTCTACCAAGCTTGAGAGGCAGTTCAAGATCACAGGCCCACTTTTGTTAAGACCACAAGGAACTCAATTTGGATGCAAGCTTGGCACTCTTAAAGTCCTCTCGAAGTTGAATAAACCTGAGGATCACAGAGAAATGAGCATTTTATCGGAAAAAACAATAGTAAAATCATTCAATTATTTATTTGGGGTGACTTTTTTTGCGGGGGAAGGTTGTCTTGTGACTGACGACAACCGTCATAACGATTTAATCTGAGTGTGGATTAATCTCATGCATGTCCAATGTAGTTATACCTTTGTGCATCTTTCCGAATGCTGGGCGTACCCTCGAACAAAGTTGAAAGGCTCTCAGGAGCAACAATGAAGACATTGGCCATTCTACAGAAAATGTTGAGAAATCAGTTTGTAAAAAATGGGAGGCAAGGGTAAAACTCAGTTTTTGTATTTGTTTAGCTTACATGCCCAACAATTCAAATTTTTCATCAACAGAGGGAGCATTGAAACTACGCACAAATTCTCCATACTCGGTGATGTCACGCTTCAATCGCAATCCTCCACTACAAATGACTCAAGCAAACAACAGTCAGCAAGATGCCAAATAGCTAGTTAGGAACTAGCAAAAACATCACAAAGCACTGTAGACACAACAATTGAAAAATTGAAGACAAAAACACTTCCTTTACAAGTTACAACACACAAGAGATGAGGGTAGAGAGAAAAGTATTCAGTCAACAAAGATCCTCAAGGAAGATCGGTTTGCGATAAGAACGAGAACAACTTTTCCTAAGTCAACACAGTATTACCATAGTCTATAAGATGTAAAAACCAGGGAAAATACCTTGGATTGAAAGTATATTTTTGCCAATGGCTTTGCAGAACCTTGTGCAAGCGATTTCCCTAAAATGACAAACCAACATGTTTTATAGAGAAATTAGGACAACAAACTGAAAAAACATAATATTCAGTGTAGCCATCTCAACCCAGCTCAACGGCCTAAAAAATAATCATGACATATAATTAGTATCTATAATTAACAGCTATCAGCTCATTGCAAGTAAAACAAGTAACAGAACTAATAAGGTACACCATGATCATTACTCGGTCAGTAAAAATCAGATCATTTGATGGTAGTGTAAAACATGTAGGGGAACAAATGCACAGTAAGCTTAATCAAAATGCTGCCTTAACATTGTTCATGCATCTCCAACAAATATGCCCAACTCAAGTCCCGTAATGTAATTGAGTCTCAAGAAACAGCTCAGTTAAGTGTTATAGTCTGAATGAGATCATGAATGTGAAAGATACAGTTCAAACAATATGAATGAGATCATAAACGCTTTTCAGACGCTATCTTGTGGAATGTGCGCCGTTCGTCTTCCTTCTCCATCTTCTTTGTTCCTCTATTTCGCCTGGTTCTTTGGTTCCTATGTTTCGGGTGTGTGATTCCTCTGTTTCACCAGGTTACATCTTCATCTTGTTTCCTCTGTTGCCTGCCTATTCTTTGTTATGTCTGTTATTGTTGTGTAAATGGCTTCAAATAAGTGGTTCCCATCCTAATGAAGTTCTAGCCGGTGGTGCATCAATAACAGTCGTCACCAACACAATTTCTAAAAATGCTCCTGGAAATAGGTCTAACCCGGCAAGAAGCATAGTGTTGGTGAAAATTCAAGGTGGAACTGCAAATACTGTGGGGAAGAATTTGGTCGAGGATTTTATCGACTGAAACATCATTTGGTCAGAACTAGTAAAGACAAACCTTGCAGAGTTTTCACAGTGATGATAGGAAAGAAAGGGTTGTTGTTGTTGATTTGCAAACTAGATTGATTAAAATTTCGAATTTATGACATTGAAGAGTCTAGTGGTGTTGGTGGATCATCAGGGCTAGTTGGGAAAATAAGAAGTCGGAAAGAGATTGTAAACACCGTATAAATACCCCACTAGTAGGATCTGTGATACGATCCTCGAGTTACGATCTCTCATTGCCCTCTCGATCTTGCATAGACTCTTGATTTTTAAAACATTGGACAAACTATCACTACAAGCAAGTAAACAATCAAAAGAACCACATTTCTCCATAAAAAAATACTCCCTTCGTCCCAAATCTTAGATTCTTTTAAGCTTGGGCACAAATAACAAATTTAGATAAGATAAGAGAGTTTTACCCTTAATTCATTCAAAAAGCATATTCATTTAATGCATGTTGTTGATATTGTAAATATAGTGTTAAGAATATTTGTATATAGAATAGTCCCACATCGACTATACCATGTAATTAGTTGTAATCTCTCTATATATAATAATGTCTCCGTAGTGTTCTTCAAAACACACGGTTTATTCATATCTCTTAGTCTCTTGTATTTCAAGACATACTTTAGGTTTTTGTAACAGTACAAATGGTAAAATATCATTAATTATATATTGGTTTCTTTAAAGAACTAAAGTTTTCGGGGAAAAATAAAAAGCTAAAGAACCAAAGAATAAGGACAGAGAGAGTAATAAACTCAAATCGGATTCTTCAAAACAAATTATAAATAAGGTCTGACATACTAGAGTCGTTGGGAAAAAAAGGCAACTTTGAACCAGCGACGCTTTGTTAGTTGTTATCAGATTGGAGAACTGTATATAAACACTTAATCTCCTTTAGATCTTTAAAGTTTTAGGAATTTTTAAATAGTTCCCTGAATTAAAAAAGTTCATGATCAGGGCCTGTATTTGTCATATGTTAACAATTAGATCCCTAATGTAAAAAGCTTTTAATGACTCAACTTTAAATAATTTGTAAATATTTGTAATTAGGTCCCATGTGAGTTTTTAAATAATTTGCAAGATAGAGGGTAGATATTTTTGGAGGAAGAAGAGTAGATGAGTTAGAGGGTAGTCAAATTGCTAGAGGCCGAAGAAGATTTAGAGATTGATGAGTTGGAAAGAGATACGTTACATTACAGAACATTATGTCACCGTTTGATATAGCCAATTCCATTGCAATTTCGTACCTAAACTTTAAAATTTGTATTGAGCTTCTAAGTTCACAGACCTAAATACAAATTATTGAAAAGTTTAGAGACCAATTAAAAACTACTTAGTTTAGGGACCTAATCACCAATCATTGACAACTTCAAGAGGATTTAATTACAACTTTTTATTTTTGGCATTTGGGACCTACTTAAAAATTCTTAAATAGTCCAAAGACCTCCGGAGTAATTAAACTTAAAAAGAATACCCACCTATTTGTTTATGTACAAGCAGCTAATAATTTGATTTGATAAGACATCATCAAACCGTATATAGTCAATGATCAAAGATAAAATACCATACCAGTTCAGACAAAAATGCTTGTTTGTTAAGACCTTCTAAAGCAGTGAATGCAGACTCCAGTACCCGAGAAAGATAAGCCACAACCCTGGAAAAAAAAAAGCATAGTTGTTAAGAACTAAGAATATAATTATAAAGATCAAAGACATAAATTAGAAGCATAAAAGAAAATATTGATATTACTTTAATGCATCGTCTGATTAGAAATGAAATCACCCCCAAGTCACCTATGTTGCATAATACTAATCTTAGTCCCTAAACAGCATTCAAATATGTACTCTTGATATTAAAACTGGAAGCTTGGAAAACAGTGAATCGGAGCTATATAAATGTATTTTGGTGTTTCTCTCCATGATTCCACTGATTCAAACATATATTATGTTTAATATTTGTCTTTAGAGTTTTTTGCAAGGTGCCATAGATTTATAGGCATGTACAAAAAACCAGTTTGTTCTCCAACCCTTGGATCTTTGCTTTTCTTGGTTCAAAGACCAACCAATTTTCAAAACACTGCGAAGTCTATCCATCCATGCGAGATATAAATTAGAGAAAACGTCAATATTGTCAATTTTAATACTAGTTTCAACTCCTCAAGTAATGTACACCTTGTGCAGGCAGTAGTTGGCCGGTGGTCAGGAGCCATTCCATCATCAGGTGACTTATAATCTGTAGCCTTTTGCTCAGCTGAAAGCAGTCGCTCTACCTGCAAAGGGGTTTAAAGTGGAAAACTTTAGGAACTAAGACTTATATTTATATATAAAAGGATGTGGGAAATATATATTCTAAGTTTATTTATTATATGGACAGTTATGCTTATGCAGACACAGGGTAGCCATCAGGAGTGGGTAGATTGTGTGTAGTCACATGATAGAAGTTTTACAATAGGTAATTGAGTACTGGCTATTATTGGCCATATTACAGGTCTAACTGACCTCAGCCATGACAGTTTCGATACACTGTTGTAATCCTTTGTAAGCAGCAGCCTCTGCACTGGACATTGCTGTAGCCATTTCTTCACAAGCAGCAGCATGTGCACCATCCACAGGAAGCAAAAGTCTAGATATAGAATTGGTGAAGTACTGTAGAGAAGAATCCATATCAGTTATGAGGCTTTATTTATATTTATGGTAAAAGAATTATTGAAATCAATACTCCTCGTCATACTTGTTGAATAATAGCAACACTGCTTCCCGAACGTTGTACAGCAACCATGAAAGATCTAAAACTGCTTTCACCAGCTGCAGCCGCAGCCTCCGCCTGCATATCAACGAGTAAATCTCCATTATGTTTGGCTAAATGTCCTTTAATTCAATACAACACAGAACTTGAACAACAACACAGAACTTGAACAACACCACACAAAACATTCAAGTAATTACAGCAGATGCAGCTGCAGCAGCTACCCTACGGCTGACACTTGTACCCAGCACAAATCTTTCCCTCAAATTAGCTGCTTCAGTCAGTCCGTCTCTAGCCCGTTCAAGACCTTCTGCTACATATTGACTAACCTGTAAAATACATCAAGAATAACCCCAGAAGAATGAGCTTTTGCCAACTAAATGTATCAAATATCTGAATGCAGACAAATTGTGAAGTTTACTCACTTGGTCTAACAGGCAAGTAAACACTGCTTTTACATGGGATGCCAGTGTAGCAGGCTGTTAAAGTAACGACAGTTTAAATTATAATTGCACTTACAAAGTACTAATTTATCAAATTTAGAAAAAATAATAGCATCTTAACTACCAAAGAAGTGCCAGAGACGCATGAATATCAAGGACTGATGAATTCTTTAAGAAACAGTTTGATAAAACCATTATACACAAACTTAGATAAAAAAAAAATATTGACATTAAATGGATTTAATATAAATTTGTTCAACAGCTAAACTAAATTGAAAGAGACAACAGATGATGGAAGAAAAATCGAAACTGGCAGAAGCTCAAGTCTGGTGAAAGTAAACTCCACATATCATGTTTCTTACATCCAGGCAGTCACACTTCTAATCCAATTAAACAAAACCAACTGGGCAGAAAGCCGAAAAGTCCATATTCAATCTACTAAAGCAAAAATTATGTTGCAAAGGATTCTTCAGAAGAAGAAAAAATGCCTTCCCAAATTCCAATCATGGAAGAAATTACCTGGGAGGAAAAGAGATTGCATCTTGAGATTGCTTCTTCATTCCAACGTACAAACTCTGTTACGACAGTGACAGATATTTGCTGCTGAGAAGAAGCTACCGTAGCTCCCTTTGAACGTCCAATTGTCCCAGATGAATCAGAAATCTGGCTTTCAGCTCGCAATTCTTCCATCTGCATTCCACCTATCCATGTAAAGGTTTTTGAAACCAAATTGAATTTGGAAGGAGGGGAAATTGAAACGATTGCAAACCTTCACTTTATATAACTGTCTAAGAGATGCCTGCTCATATTCCGGATATTCATCCTTGTGATTTGAAAACAGGGACTCTGTCAGGCCTGATATGCAAAAAAAAGTAATACAAGAATGAAGCATACCGAACATTAGTGCATATTTATGAGATGGTGAGGACATAAAACCTAAAAAGTCAAAAGCTCTACTTGAAAATTGTTTAAGGCTAGAATAGAGCTTTTGGGATTCACAGGTTAAATCTCATATTTTCCATTGAGCTATATCATAATTAAACCTCTATGTTTACCATTAAAAATATATTAAAAATTATATATATATATTGCCAGTTATGCTTGAAATTAAGATTAAAAATGATAATCAGCTTTTACAATCATTGGTAAGTAGAGAGCAAGGCTCCCACAACAATTGCACTATAACTCATCGCATCAAATTATAATGCAGAAGACCACTGTTAAGAAATCAACAAAAAATAATCAGTATCATGTATCATAACAAAAACAAAATTTTTTCTGCCTACTCAAGTATTGGCATAATGGGGCAGATAAGATGTTTCTTCTAGTAGCATGTGCATCTATGTTTCAAACCATTATTCCTTTTACAGAAGAGTTTATCAAAATCAGGCACATTCAAAGTAAATTCATTACCCTCAACATCCAAGTCACCGCATCCTACAACTCGGAGATCTCTAGCAATTTCTTGGGTCTTTTCATACGCCACTGCCAGCATTCGAATATACTGCAGCCTCAAACCAAATGCAGATTACATTGAGATCAGCCTGTAGCCTAAACTGGCACTTAGATGATAATAATGAAGTCAGTTAGTTAATTATACTCACGAATAGGAGCCCACCTTCCTCCATGGAAGGTAAATTCACAAGAGATGGTTTAACTAATAGTTTGTCCAGAAGGGCGGTGACTCGCTGCTCTAAAACACGCTGTATACAGAATAACAGTGAAAAATTACAAGTTCATGAAAGTACAAATGAAAGCACCTATTCAAAGTCACAACAGCAGGTGAGGATCACTTTATGGTACCTGAACTAAAATTGACATAACTTCACTGGGTGAAGGGAATACAGCAGTGATTGTTGCAGCCTCTTTACGGACAGTGTCTGCAACAAATTACCTGTCATCACTGATTCTTTCAAGAAAAATTTGTTTCTCTAACAGAAGAAGTTATACTTCAAACCTGTGATTTCTTTGTACAAGGAGGCAAGCCCGCGAGCAACATTATTAGGACTACTTTGTATAGGCTGGTCACCAAGAACCAGCCTAGTGTCTGCATTCATTACTTCCACATCAATAAACATTGGACGTGTTGCCACATAATGTTGCATGGCACTTGTACCCCTGTTGAACTGCATTGCAAAGAGTATTTTCAAATATTAAAAAATAAATATTATACATTTGATACATTTTTAAAAGCAATTGTTTTATCTCTACTATTATTACTATTTTTATTATAAGAAAGTGAGCAACACATAGTACAAGCACAGGAAGCAAAGAAGAGATATTCCAAACCAGGACAGTGTACAAATCATAAATCGAAGTCATGGCTCTATTTAGAGAGTGCTCAATGGCAAATATGATTTGAATCAATATATGCAGAACCATTAATACATTGCTAAAGTCCAGACAGTATTGGCAAATTGCAACATCTAGTAAACTACAATGTACAAAGGCGATGTACAATGCTACCTAAGCAATATCTAAAACACGACTTCATTCTCAAATTTCAGACAGGACATTTTTATTACCAAACAGCTGCAATTCACAATAAATAACAAATTTTGAAAATTAAAAAAAATAAATATAAAAAACTTGTAACAAGCAATGAACAAATATTATTAGGGAGGGAGTAAAGGGGGGCAGCAAAAGAGGGTAATCGGGTATAACAAACTTTATTACCTGAGACAAAATTTTGGCACATTCTGCCATTGTGGTCAATTCTCTTTTCTGTGACGCTGCATCGAACCGAGAAAGCAATCTATTCTCCAGTTCTGCAGAAATGGTGAAATGGTTATGGAAGTTTTATTGCTAGAGAAGCCTAAAAGTCGGATTTTACATTCATGACTGCTGCTAAATATTTTGGTCTTACCCGTATGTAAAAAGGTCAGGTACTCTAAAAAGATCTATTTATTCTTATGTTTTTAAAAGCAAAGAGGGGTAAATAACTGACCATGGACCATGGTATTGAGGAAAGGTAGGATTGAGCCAACTAATGAATTATCATCAAGGCTAAGTCAATTTCTTACCTTCTTATCTAAAGAGAGAGGGTAGTGAATAAAATTTCCATATAATTTAATTCCTCAAAATTTATTCACATTAGGATCGCACCATATTTAAAAAAGATCAGGTGCGATAGACAAATACGCCCTTAAAATTTAAATATTTGCATTTCAATTGAAAAATCACAAAATGGATAAAAGAGGAAGACAAGCCCAAACAACTTGTTTAGGGAAAAATACCAAATATTACCTTACTCTTGTTTAGTAAAGTCAATTCGTATTGTTATTGTAAGGTGTACAGAAGACATTGTATGCAAGAAGATCATAGAGATGCATGTGTGATCAACAAACCTAATTAGTATCCCTATAGTAAAAACCTACTTAACAAGTACTGAAATCTGTCATCGTATGAATAAAATTGTCTATGAAATTCCACCTAGACAGAGTAAATCAGCTTTTGTAGGATCACAAAAATCATAGATTCTCAAACATGTACCTTGTCATTCATGTAATTCTTGAATGACATTATAAGTTTATAACAGTTTTAACAGGAAATATGTCAATCCTCCACTCCCTTAACTATTCAGTTTGACTGAATAAACATGAGAAATTTATGCAGACTATATATCTCCATTTTTAATGGAAAGTTGATTTGAACAGGTTTGTTGTAAAATACTGACCATTGCAGTAGTCCTGTAAATTAGCAACTGCAACTTCTAATCCCCGGCTAGCAGTTGCATTTCCCACCGCTGATGGGACACTTATACCATGTCTTCCAATATCTTCTTCAGCAAATGACCCTGAAATTAACAGAATTGACTCATTTAGCACTGATATAATTTGGCCAAAGCATTCTAAAATTGTTTTACAATATCTTAAGGCTTACGCAATTTTTGGGCAATTGAGGCAGCCTCGGCAACACGGCTATCATCAGAAAAAAGAGGAGAAAGTTCCATCAGATCACCAGGGCTGCTATTGAACTCCATTAAATACTGTAGAAATTAATCAACCATAAAGTAAATTTTCCAGCATGAATGATGGGTATAAACCACAAATGAATTGGCTGATTTTTACTTTTATCAGCTCAATAGTTTGACTGGCAGTTTCTCGCTGAGCATCTGCACTCTGACAAAAAAAAAACAGAATTGGAAATGAAATTATATTTCAAACACAGGATAATCAATCAACCAATAAAACATCATAATACAAATAAATGTGAGATCACATTTCCTCCATCAAAATATAGTTGAAGGGTGGAAGAACACTGCTCCTACCTGGAGATGATCTCCTATCTTTGCAGCTGTCTGACCAACACTTGAAATACGTGAATCCAACCTCGCAAAGCTTTCAAACAACCCATCTACACCTTTCTCTAGCTGAAAAAGAATCGAAGACATAAATTTATATTCAAAAGAACATTCCAACTCAAATTTCCTAAAACATTATTCAGCCCTGGTTACATAATATGTTATATAAGATCCCCGTTCTTCTAAACAGGAAATCTAGCACAACACTTTTCAACAAATTTTCTATTAAAGGTCCATCACTCCATCCTCTAAAATGTTTCCACAAACTTCCAAAAAAAGTGATCAAATTACAAGGCAACCAAATAACTAGACTGATAAAGTATGTGTTACTAATAATAATCATCCTTAAAAATAGAAAAAATCAAAAAATGAAACTCAATGGAGACCTAACCAACCTATTATAAAGGATACAAAATTTCCAAACATCATGAGGGTAGCAATAACCTTTCCTTTTCCATTTCATAATATCTATAACCGAAAACACTTGTGAATTTCAATATAACAACGCAGACCAAATAATTCAGAAACAAACCTCAGCTAGTGTCCTCCTATGCTTAGAGTCTTGTACAGAAACATCTTTCTTAAGATTGTGTAGTCTCCCATCAATCTTCCATTCAAAAACACAAATAACATTAGCATAATAAAATTAAGACACCAACCCAATAATGGCAAATAGCCTAATAGCATTGCAGAACAAACCAATATTGCTAAGTGTTGTCAAATGGCGGTTACAGCAGTACTATAATAGCACACTATAAAGCAACTTAGTTAATGTTTGGTTTAGCTTTTGGAAGAGCCAAAAACAATTCTAGAGGTGTAGAATTAATTGTGGAATGATTTTGAGGTACTTGGTTCTTATAAAGTATAATTGATTCTGCCTCCAAAATTAATTCTACTTTGAAGCTACAATTTGTAGCTACAAAATTAATTCTTTTTGATTTTGAACTCACATCAACTTACTGTTAATTGGAATCAAATCTAGAAAATCAATTCTCCTCGCCGCAGAAACAAACATACACTAAGTTATCTAATAATTATTTGTGTGTATGTAAGAGAGAGGGAGGGAGAAGAAAAATAGAAACCTGTTTACGTAGCTCAAGGAGTTCCTTACAAGAATCCTTGAACAAAGACAAGAGATTTTCAACCTCAGGAAACAAAGGACTCGTAACCCCTTGTGAATATTTATTTGCATCTCGTAGATGACCGTTCGGCAGAGAATCGCCTTCCGATTCAAGGTCTTCTAATTTGAAAGACGGAAGAAGCTCGTTCACTAAGTTCCCGAACAAAGCATCGAACGAGAAATCTCCCTAACATAACCGAATTTGATTTGTGAAATTTTGAAAAACGATATCGAATTGAAACAGTGAAATTGCGGAAGGAACTAGCTAACCTTGAAGTCATCGATGTCGAGAATGAGAGGGAAAGAACCAGAAGATGCGGGTTTGGAGGTTTTGATATCGGTTTTGGTTGCGTCTCTGGGTTCTCTCATCACGACGGTGTCGTTTTTCCGATCTAACAGAAAGTATGAGGATTTGCGATTTGCGAGCGATCTTCTTCGATTGTGTCGTTGTGGCGCGTTGAGGAGGAGGACGACGAAGAACACAACAAGCACACTGGAAGAAGCAGTTGTAAATATTTCTTTTTAAATTTTAATTGGATGATGTAGATATATATGACTTAGCGGTATAGGCAACAAGATACAACTTAGAATGGTTCTAACTTCTAATCTATACTCTATAATGGTTCTAAATTTCTAATCTTCTACCTATAAATGATGTTTTTTAAACTAAAACATTAAACTAAAATTTTATTTTAACTTTTTATTATTATTTAAACTTTTTCGAAGTCAAACTTTCAACTCATCCTTCTCATTATTTTCTTTTTAAATATGTCTTTTACAATTTATAAGGGGTTAACTATTGTACGATTGTTATTATTGGACTTTATTTCTAGTGTGATTCTCTCATCTCCATCATCTATTGTTATTATCACGCATAATGATTAAAAATTAAAGTGGGTTATTTTGTTTCTCATATGACCCTTTAATCTTCATCTTTTTCTCTAAATTATCTTTTGACATAGGCTTCGTGTCTCTTTTTCTGCGGTTTTACATTAATCATTGTTGTGTGTTTCTAATTTGTTCAAACTCGTCTAAAATGTTAGTGAGTATCATTTTTGTATTTTGAATCTTTTATGTTGATACAGTTCTTTATTTTGATACGATTTTTATTTTGCCGTGGTTATATGTCTCTTTTTCTGTGTTTTTCTTTACCATGATTGCGTGCACATAATTTATCTAGTTCGACTCAAACATTAGTGAGTATAATTTTTGTATTTTGAATCTTCTATGTTGGTACATATTAAATTTTAGATAATTTGTTTATCTATCAAATTCAAATTATTTGTGTTTGTATTTAGTTGTTGATTATTTGTTTTTTTAGAAGGTTATAGGGTCTAAAACCTTAAATGCCTACTATAAAGACAAAGAAAAATCAATCTTACGTGCACATTATTCTAATCTAAAATCTCATTATTATGGTTGTTCACTTGCTTGAAAGTCAGAGTGTTTACAAATGTATCACTCTCAATATTATGGTCGGTCACTTGTTTATAAATCAGATTGAATGATTGTTGTAGAGTTCGTCATCGGATTCTCAATCACCAACGTGTGAAAAAAATGTTCATTCTTGATTACAAATCATATTAATCTAAAATGCAAACGTTACTTATTGAGTCTAAGGAGTTGTCATACTCTTCTTCCTTTTTAAAGTTTATTTGCACTATAATAAATATATTATTTTAAATATTGGTTTATAGTTAATATTTTAAATTTGGAACAGTATTATTGTTTGATTTTATATTTTATTTAAGTTCTAGTTAAACAGTGATAGAGAAGAAAATATTAATTAAATGTCTTATTTTAGATAGTTGAGTTTGATTTGGAATTAAAATTAATAGTTGAGATTTTTTATTATTATTTTGTTGGTCTTTTTAATGTTTAAGTATTTTGTTTGATTATCCATTAGTGATATTATATAGGGTTAAATATTTTTAAAGTTCCCTAAATATCACAAACTTCATTTTTTGTCCCTCAAAAATCTTTCTTCAAAGAATAATCCTTCTAATCTTTTTTATCCATGTTTTTGGTTCCTTATGTCAACGTTCGTTAATAAAAGTTGATGTGGCATGTCATGTGGAAGATTTTTGGTGACTAGACGTACATATAGCAGTAACAGCGTGACAAATATGTTGATGTGGCATGCCACATATCAACTCTATTTTTGCTATAAAAATGTGATAGATTGTGAGGGTTACAAACTCCTTAAAATAACTAAAATCATTAGAGCAATTCAAGCAAGGATTAACGTGAACATTAGTTGAATCGTGAATCCTTAGATTTGCAATCTTATTAAACTCAACATGCAAATAATGTGTAGGCTTCATTGAACCTGTCAAGCTTCAATATAAGCAAGAAGAAAGAAGAATCGTCCACTAGTTTTGAGATTGGAAATGCTGAAGTTAAAAGTATCCAAAAGCATTGCAAACTTTGTAACCGTACGTTGTCGTGTAAAACTTTTATATGGAAGTCTTTCATATACAGACTTACAATGCTATCAATGGTTGCCATAGAAAAAATATGTGTCTGTGTGGCTCTTCTATTCAAAAGCTCGCCCCAAGTTTTGTTTATATTTTAACCTTTTAAGTGGTAATTGTTGGAGACCATGTCAGTTGTAAAAGACATAAATCTAGAAGAAAATCTATCATTCTCACAACTACTTCCTCCACTACAAGCAAGCCTTCAATCTCGAGAAAAGCATCATGCATTGTATTATGATTCGCCTTGAATAAGGCTTGAAAGTTTAACATCAGGAGAATCATGTGACTTAGAGTAATAAATAAAATCAAAATATGATTTTTGCGATGTAAACCTCGTCATGTTTGTTATACTTTTTAGACTTACACTTTACTTTGCTATTGGACCTAATAGTATTGCTTGTATAGTACTTGCAAAGTTATTCCCTGCAAGGCTTCGTTCAACGTGTCGCAAAATATCGGCTGCAACTGGAAATTCGTGAGTTATCGTTGGTCCTTTTATGGTCCAAAGCTACATAGATATTGCACATGATAAAATAAAATGAACAAAGCAATCTATTGTGGCTCTTTTGTTTTTAAACTTGCTTTGGTTCTTTTGCACTTTCTTGGTGCTTGAAACGTAAGGTCAGTCGCTCGAAGAAATCATGGGAAAAGAGAAAGAATTCAAAGAAAATAGTGATGCATATGAGGCAATAAATGATGAAAAAAAGGAATAAAAAACTAGTGTTGATAAATCTCTAAGAACTTCAATAGTCTAGTTCCTAGGCCATCGAATTATAACACTCATGTTTGTTTCAATGACTTATTTCATAAGTTTATGTAACTGGAAAAATAAATGCTTCGTGGTTAAATGTGTTTTTCTTTGTTCTTCTTCACTAGCCTAACATCAGATGATGAACTAAAAATAAAAGTGCATGTTGTTTATAGCCAATGCAATAAGTGCTTTTGTTTTATATGTATTAATATATATAATAACTTTGTTACTTTTGTTTATATCTCTAGATTCTCTTACACGAGAACCAAGAAGTAATGATTACTTCTAAACTTTATTTTTGTCCCTTCACTTTTATTCTATTTTTAGATGATACAAATCATTTTCCTGTTATAAACAATGAACACAATGTACAAAGGCTAGGCACGTCACCAACAAATAATCATTAGACAATAACTTTTGAACTTCTTATTTTGTGTTATTTTAAAACACAACCCTAAGAAGTGGAGTTCCAGGTGAAAGTAAAAGTGTATTACATGTGTAGGTAACCTGAATTGAATGAACAACTACATAACCAAGTATGAATGACATGGGTATGGTTAAATATTCATAGTTTATTGATAACTAAACTTACACTTAAATAACATATAAACCAATAAGTGAGGCTACCAAAGATGACTTATGGATTAAAGGAATAAATAGTTGGTGCCCATGACATTGTTATTACTGTGATTTTTATTGAGATCTTGCACGACAACATTGAGCTATTGTTTTCGGAACTTTCATTGCTTAGGTAGCCAATCCTTTTGAATTTATCATGGTTTTAGTTATTTTAAGGAGATTTGTAACCCCCACAATCTAACGCATTTTTTGTAGTGAAGTATGATTTTAACCTTAAGTGGTGTGACATGTTACATCAACATCTTTGCCACTATGTCACTACCATATGTATGCCTAGTTACCAAAAAAACTTCTATGTGGTGTGCCACATCAGCTTCTATTAACGAATGTTGACAGGAGGGACCAAAAGTGTGAACAAAAAATATTAAGAGGATCATTCTTTGAAGAAATTTTTTTGAGAGACTAAAAGTGAAGTTTGAGATATTAAGGAGGTTTGTACACATACTTAACCTTGTTATATAATGTAGTGTATCTGACATATTTGAGAATATCCAATGAAAGAATAATGTTATTTTATTTTAATTAGTTGTTTTGTATTTTATTTAGCTTTATCTATGTTCCCCACAAATTAGATAGAACTCTATAACAATTAGCGTTTCATTTTTGCACTCAAATCTCTCATTGAGTATTCAAACTTTTCTCCTCCAATTTATCCTTATCAAGCAAATACCATTGTATTTTTATATAATAATTTAACCTTTTTTTAAGTGAGTAGTTGAAATGGAAAAGTCGCCAAAGTGACCTCTTTTATGGAAACTGATTATGAAAAATGTTGAATAATTTTATGGTTTGTGTGTATGTTTGTTCATGCGAGTATCAATTGACCCAAAGGAAAATTGGCGGTTGGTCGGTTTTCATACACGCCTGTGATGGTAAACATGTGATAATTATGAGGTCTTACATGTGAATAATAAATCAATCCAAAGAGGGGTTTATTATTCAACATGTTTTTATTATCAATGTTTAATCCTTACGACAAGAGTACCACTAACAGTCGATATTACTGTCCAGAGACTTGATATTGGTGGTGCACTTGGTATTTTGAGATATGTTATGCCTTTATTTGAACAACATTGATGATTCGGTTTTTATTTATGTGAGTATATTTAAAATGTTTTCTTTTTGTTCTTTTTTCACTATAATTGCTTCAATATCTGCTAATATGAATAAGGTTCAGGTCCTGAATGTGATCAATTTTAAGGATTGGAATGGGAACATGGAAATTATTCTTGGTTGAATGGGTTTTGACCTTGCATTAAGGATGAGGCAACCCCATTCTCCTATGGAATTTGGTATCTTTAAATAGAGGAAATATTATGATAAGTGGGATCGCTCCAATCGTATGAGTCATGGTTTGGTTTGTTCTAAGGTCAATTTTGCTTTAGTACCTGGAAGCACTTGGTGTTTAGACTCTGGTGCAACTACTAACACCAGTGTTTCAATGAGGGGTTGCCTGAACTACCAGAATTCAAATGTTGTTGAAAGATACATCTATGTTGGAG